CAGGACAGGACCCCAAATGACAAAGGGCTTCTTGCGTTTGTTGTGGCTCTCTGAAAATGAAAGGGAACATTACAAGTCATAATGGTTGTTCACATTGAGGCAATGGAAGGGTCCTGTGCCAGCCAGGGCCCGCAATACCGAGAGGTGGGCCCACCAAACCCATTTCCAGCATTGGCCTGTTAAGCCCATGGGGTTTATGTGCCAATTATTTGACCACCTGCGGCGATCAGCGATGTTATTGCGTCAATGACGGTTTCTGCGTCGACCCGCGGTCAGCCGCGCGGGTGAGAAGGCCTCCCGCATCAGAGAGGGGACCAACGTGATATGATGTACCCCTCTAATGGCTTCCGGATCGGCCTAGGGGTCCCGCCCCGTGGCGCCAGAATGGCAGCCGGAGGACACACCGCGGTGGGACAGAGTGGCCCTTCAGCACTTCACCGGAAACAATTATATGCCGCCTAGTGTTCTACTCAAGGGGCTCCTTTCCTGGAAAGAAATAAGGGGCCTCATCAGTGTTGAATAGAGCTGGTCTAAATGAGCTAAGAAACCAATAAGGCCACCCCAAGTTTGTCTGAGAACATTTATTCTTTTGCAAAATCGACTAGTAAAACAAATTACATCAAAAGTCTTGAGCCTGCGCGTCTGCAGTCCCGGGAGCAAAGAGAGCAATGGCCTTAGTTGCAATTTCCGTAAAACCGAACATCGTTGGCCACGGCCAGAAACACCACGTGGCGGGTGTCGTTCGCGCGGGAACGACTGTCGTAAAATAAGAGTTCCGAGTGCCTTTCAATATTAGTTTGTGCCGTTCAAAGATGAGCCTGAGCACCACTTTTTTGGAACGTTGGGGCTGTGCTCCGGACATACTAACAGTTACAGCAATACGGAAAGTAAGAATTCTACCGTTTCTCTTCCAGTTCCAACACCAGATTCCGGCACCACTCCCTGGTGCTGTACGGGCCAAGTCTTTCTTATCTTCAGTCTAAAAATAGCACATATATAATATGCGCCCGGGCTACCTCCTAAGTGCACGATGTGGTGTCCTATAGCGCTCAAAAACCCACTCACTGGCCCACCCATTGACCAAGGCTTAGTGTTAACCTCGGAACCAATGCCGCGCGATCTAAGGAGACTGGAACGCCTGGCGTCTGCGTTTTTGGTGGTAAGATTTGCGAGGGCGCATGCTCAAAAATACGTTACATAATTTGTGCCACTTCTCAATTCTGACCGAATTATCAACATTACCATTCCACCATGGCTTGACTATGTAGACACAAATTGTTGACCCATTTCGATCTACATTCGCGGAGTGCCTGTGCAACCCAGGTAATAATTTTGTCGAAGCTTCTGAGTTTTGTCGGTTTAGGAAGGGTCCACTAAACCATTGAAAGATGAAGAACGCCGGTGCTTTACGTAATGCAGCCGTTAAACGCATGTTTTCTTCAGTCTATAGACCATACAATTCAGACAGAATTCATTTCGCGTTAGCCTCTGGATTCCTTCCCAGTTATGGAAGGTAGAAATGAAAAAAGGAACAAAACATGGTCTCATTAGCAAACGGGCCATATTAGGCGATTTTTTGGGAGGGTTTTTTTACTTGCTACCAGGGGACTCTTTGCCAATCCTGTGTCCACGCCACCTTTGCCGAGGCTCTGGCTGCAAGCCCGATTGCAGCAATGATGCCACCGCTGTAATGCAATGCGGACATGCCCACCCATAAGCGCTAACCCGCTGCCAATTTCCTAAGTTGATCTAGGAACTTCTTCAAGTTTGAGATATGCACGACGTTACCCAGCGAAAACCGAGAACCGAGCAATGCCGCGCTGCGTCACGGAAAGCATCTTGACGGCTCTGACATCTATAGTGGGATATCTCGTCCATCGTAATTCTGGTGGCGAAGGATAAAACTAACAGTTCAAGGTTTGGGCGCTTGGGATACTCATATATTGCCTTGTACATGCTGGTTAACGTCAGCATTGTTTCCAAACATGGGCGCTGTTCTTGGTTGTAGCATTGCATTACACCGGCAGAATATTAAAAGCTGAAAAGGTTGTAGTGAAGCGCCCGTTTAATATGTGATGGTACGCACGTAACATGGTTTTATTGGAACCGACTCAGATGCAACCAGACATGTGCTTTAAGGGCCCATCATGTAGGAGTTACAATGCATTGTGTTACAGCCTTGTCACTATTTTTCAATCTCCCCTCTGTCAACGTACTGGTTGCACTTGGTGTAGCATCTCGGATGTCTACACTGTCAAGCGATTGTTTAAACGCATTTCACAATCATCTACCACAACGTACCAGTATATCGCTACGCTGGGAACATTCGTTTCCCCTTGCTACGCTTCATTCGTCCCATCAAACTTCGAACCCTCTTCCCCGCCTTTCCCATCGTGCAGCACGCGATCTACGGTCTGCTATTAATCCTGTCTGTGCGTTCTACTTATTATTACGTCACAAACGCAATTAAACATGTCAAATGAGTGTTTTGGATACTTGGTACTTGTGCATGACAGTTTAAGTGAGAAAGCATAACTGAGGCGTACAAGTGGAACCCAAATTGTAATTGTAAACAAAAAACAAACGCTTCTATAGCTTGACGCAGCGTTAGAAGGTGTGACAGCGCTTTAGAGCATTTGGCAAAGCCCGATCCCGACGATTTCGACGCTCTGCGTCGTAGTGAAGTCAAGTTCTTCACTGCAAGGTCGCGTGAGATGGGAGGAGGTGGGTGGCCGGGAGAGCAGTTGTGATATTGAAAGGTTTGTCCTGGGTAATGGCCATGAATTTTGCATCACTGGCGGGGAAAAGAACACAAGGTCTACATCGAAATTTCTGTATTCGACACTTCTTTTTGGCAGGAGTGCTCACTTTGCATTCCGATGCCTAATTCTGCTGAAGTTTCACGTTTACTTGGCTCCATAATCATGAATGGAGAAAAGTATATACCTTTGTGATTGTAGAAGCTGATGCCTTTGCTATGATGCTGCATTTTAAGTTTTCTGGCCAAAGGTTAACTGCAATGTGGGCAATGTTTGGGTTTCTTGGTCCTCAACTACATTTCACTCATATTGTACCTAGGTTGTTTGTCTAAATATCATGTTTTTGCCATGTGTCAACCATTCAGTAATGATAAGTATTTGGTCGATTTTTGTAAAATTATTGTCATAAATTTAGTAATGAATGCATGAAAAATACAATGATCCACAGAATAGTTAATTGCCATTGATCTATCCAGAATTCTTAAGTTGGGTTGCTTGCTGCTTGGAGGTGTAATGACCTGTGTGTTTGCATCACCATTCTTTAACATCATATGTGTAGTCATTAAAGAAAGCAAATCAATCCCACTAATTCTTTCCTCCTGATTAGGGATCACAATATGGTTTGAATAACTAAATTTATGTAAAGGTTTGCTCTTTAGTTGGTAGCCCATAGTTATGCCCCATCACATTTATCTTGGCAAGTAGATGGCAAAAAGTGGTGCACATATATATATAGATATTGTGAATATAGATATATAAATAGATATCATAGATATAAGCCACAAGGTATACAGCATTTGACATTACTACCCTATAATTGGTTATGGCCTCATGCTTAGGATGTGATTTGAAAATCATGTCTGAGAAGTATTTTGCTCATGAAACAACATGCAGGCTCTGACGTTGCCTCTAAGGAGAGAAATATCAATTTTCTGGGAAATCCCACTGCTATTCTGGACTTGTTCTGTGTAACATGTATTTTTTGCGATATGGTCCTCTCGACGGAGATGTTGTGTGGGGAAACTTACTGTTGGTTGGGTGTGCTTTAAATTGATTGATTGTCTGGATAAATGTGCCTTAAATTAGAGGTGACTGTGAAAACAAACAAGTCAACTGACTGAAATCTAGTTAATTTCTCACCCAACATTAAGGTAGTATTATAGCAAAGTGCTGCACTGCTAGACAATATGCCTAACTAATATGAACTGCCTTAAACTGACCAAGTTTTATGCTTTGTCATTCAAACCTTTACTTTGGCTGTGGGCTGATAGTGAAGGCTTGAATGCTGGGTTTCATGGTTTGTCAGTAATATGAAAGGCTAACTTGACACATTTTTCCTTGTGACTCATTTTCAATGAAACTGTTGATTTCAGACAGAAATAACATCATTGCTGAACACAATTAGTACCATGGTGCCCAACCAATGCCATGGTGCAAGAACCATACTGTGATCAGACATGATGCCCAAGGAACCTGCCAAAAAGGACGGCGGCAGCACTACTGCTCGGAGCAATCAGAACGGCAGTGCCATGAGCAAGCTGCGGCAGTCTGGCGTCAACTTCCTGCACAAGACTGCTCAGAAGCTGGCCATGAAGGATGACGTACCAGACACCACCGAGCAAGCGGGCGGCGTCTCGCCTCGCGCGGCCGACTCGGGCTCAACCGGCGGCGGAGTAGGGGTGTCCTCGAAGCGAGATCATTCGCCGTCCACCTCCGGGCCGCTCTCGAGGCCAGAGCGCCAGTCACCGGCCGCCGGGGCGCCCGCAAAACCGGACCGTTCGCCAGCCGCCGCCGCCCCATCCTCGAAAAACGACCGACCGTCGCCCGCCACCGGCCAGTCCTCAAAGCTAGACCGCCCGCCGGTGGTCGCTGGGCCGTCCTCGAAGCAAGACCGCTCGCCGTCTGCAGCCGGTCCGTCCTCGAGACCGGACCGTCCAGCGGCCGGCGGCCAGGCGCCGAAGCCGGGCCAGATGGCGGGCGGCGCGCCGTCGCGGCCCGACCGGCCGGCCGCCGCCAAGAAGGCGGTCACACCGCAGCCGGAGCCGCGGCCGCCGCCGTCGCTCAAGAAACGCGCCTTCAGCATCGACGTCGCGTCGCCATCGGTGTCGGGCGTCGGCGGCGGCAGCGGCGGCGGGCGCAGGGCGGCAGACCCGGCGCGGCCGGCGCGACCGTCGGCCGTGCGGCACCGGGACCGGCCGCGTGACGCCGCCAAGGTGAGCTTCTCCTCGCGCGTGCAGCTGCTGGGCGCCGCCGACGACGAGCCGACGGAGCGCGTCGAGCCGCTGGCCGAGGAAGAGGAGTCGAGCCGCCAGGCGGAGAGCATGCGCAAGCTGGAGCGCGAGAACGAGTCGCTGCGGCACGCCATCGAGAACTACCGCGAGCTGGAGCGACGGCGCGCGTCCGGCCCGAGCGCCCCCGGCACGGCCGGCGGTGAGGACGCCGAGGACGGCGAGGAGGACGAGGTGGAGAAGGCCGTCGAGGTTTCGCCAAACGGGACGTTCCTCAAGTTCAACGAGGAGATCGGACGCGGCAGCTTTAAGACCGTCTACAAGGGATTGGACACCACCACCGGCGTGTTCGTCGCCTGGTGCGAGCTGCAGGTGAGCACCGCTACCGGTGTGTGTGTTTGGGGGGGGGGAGGGGGTGCAGCGATGTCAGCGCTGCTTCGCTGAATGGGGCTTGGAGGTCCAGGAGAGGATGGAAGGGGATGAGGTAGCTGCTGATTGCTTGGGCGCAGAGTACGGGGGTGGGGGGGCTAGGCCGTTTACTCAGTTGTTCTTATACAATATTTTTTTCTGTATTGTAGATCGGACGTATGTTGCCTCATGTTTGGGTACGTTTCTAATGGCATTGCTTGTATTTGCTCATGACTGATCCTTGCCGGCGGCCATTTCGGAAAATATTCACGTCTGAGAAACGCTTCGGAGTGATGTGATGTTGGCTACCAGCTGGCCCGGAACTTCGCCCTTCGAAACGGCGCATACCGTCGCTATCAATCCTCTCAACACCGTACCCATACCTATCAAGCGGCGTCGCTCTGGCCACAGCTGAGCGGCAACCGACTGAGCAAGAAGGACCGCGACCGGTTCCGGGAGGAGGCTGACCTGATGAAGGGCCTGACGCACCCAAACATCGTCCGCTTCTACGACTTCTGGGAGGTGGACAAGCCGAAGCGTAGCTGCATCGTGTTGGTTACGGAGCTCATGACGTCAGGCACTCTGCGCACGTGAGTGGGCGCTGAGATACCGGCCCGCGGCCATGACCCCCTAATTACATGCAGGGGTCCAAGTCTTGTGGGGACGTCGGCAGGCAGTCAATGGACGCAAAAGTGAGGTACAAAACCCTTCATATATGTAAGAAAGGCTTTCAGCACCCGGTATGCTAGAAGGAGCGGACGTCGGCAGGCAGTCAATGGACGCAAAAGTGAAGTACAAAACCCTTCATATATGTAAGAAAGGCTTTCAGCACCCGGTATGATGGAAGGAGCTAGTTGAACAAAGATATAAATGATTGGCTGACATATGATATATGTCACCAACCGTTTGTACTAGATCAGTACGGCCGCCTCCACCTAGGGCGCCTGCAATTTCAAATGTCTGCTCAATATGCGCCTAACGGGGCCTGTGTGCAGCGAGTGTCACGGTATCGTGCGCTGGCCGGCTCCAGCGAAGTCAAGCCGTCTCGTGCGCCCTCGCCGACGACTCCGTCCCTCCCCACTTGCTGGGGTCGAACGTCACGAGCGGGCGCAACCAATCAACTCGAGACGCATGCTCGCAGGACCCAATCAGAATGTGGGGAAACAGAAAACCCTTGCCGATATTGGACTGTAATAAGGCGGTGAGATGACATTTGAGGCAGCATTTGTGATCGTGTAAGCATCCGCTGCGCGGAAGAAAGACGATCCGACGTGTACCGGACGGCCAGACAGGGCTCCGAGCGCGCGCCGGCCGACGCCGTTAGAAGGCTGACTCAGCGGCAATGGCCAACAGCTGCCGACCAGCACTGCTCTGGTCGCGCTCCCTCGGCCGCCGGCGTGCGCGATGGAGCGGGCTACGGATGCATTGTGTCCTGGAGGAGCTCAAAGCCCTACAGTAGCTGTAGCTTCGTCGCACTTTTTCATTCGTCTTTACGCTCTGTAAGTGGTGTAAGCATCGCTTTGCCGTGGTGTTTTTGCAGTTGTTTGTTTTGACCACAGGTACCTGAAGAACTTCGGCCAGAAGAAGGTGTCGCTGAAGATCATTAAGCTGTGGTGCCGCCAAATCTTGCGTGGCCTGCAGTTCCTGCACTCGCGCAACCCGCCCATCATTCACCGCGACCTCAAGTGTGACAATATCTTCATCTCGGGCACTACCGGCCAGGTCAAGGTTGGCGACCTGGGCCTGGCTACGCTCAAGAACCGGTCGTTCGCCAAGTCGGTGATCGGTGAGCACCGCTTCCGCCGCCGCCGCTGCCGGCCGCGGCTGGTCAGAGTCCGGCTGGCTCCAGCATGAGCGGGGTCGCCGGGGGCGCCGGGCTCGGCTGGCCGGCGGGACGCCTGCTGCGGGTGGTTGGCTCTGCAGACGGCGGCATCGGGGGTTCGGAGCGGGAGGCTTGGCCGCCTGACCGCGCGCGCTATGCAGGCATGCCCGGCTTCCGAGCGAACTTGAATGCCGCGTCCGGGCTCTTCCCAGGCTTCGCTGCGAGTCGCACGCCGGGGTGGGAATGCTTGCGCGACAGTGATGCGCCGATACCGGCCGCGGAGGACTTGTGCATAGTCTAGGGCAACCTCTCCACGCCTGTTTTTCGAATGTTTTTTCCACCCACCTCGGCATTGGACAAGCAACACACACGCACACATAACTACATACTTGGGCAGGCTGGCTCGTCTTAGAGCGCTCTTTGCCACGGAATGGCAGCGGACTGCCAATAGTTGATAGACGCCAGGCGGGCGCGCTCTGTTCGAACGCCTTTCTCCGCTAGGCACGCCCGAGTTCATGGCTCCGGAGGTGTACGAGGAGCACTATGACGAGGCGGTGGACGTGTACGCCTTCGGCATGTGCATGCTGGAGATGGTGACGGCCGAGTACCCCTACTCGGAGTGCACCGGGCCGGCACAAATCTACAAGAAGGTCATCACGGTGAGCGGCGGCTCCCGGCCGCATGGTGGCGCTGTGGTACGGGAGCGACCGGCCGGCGCTCCTGCAGTAGGGCAGGTGGTCAGCTTTCAGCCTGTGTGTGCAGCCTGTGTGAAATTTGCACCAATCCCCATGTTTCACGCTGTTGCTCCGTGGCTATGATAAACATTACGATGATGGCAGTGTTCTACGTTGACGTGCTGAGTTCCAGCCTTGGTACTCATAACGCTGCAGATTAGGTTTTTCGTGGGCCGTGTGGTTCAAGACCAGCGAGCGCCTCTGCCATCTCGCGAGCAAGGTGTGCGGCCTTCCCTGACGTGAGTGGCGTGTGGTCTGTACCGTCGCCTGTCTCAGCTTCCTCGCTGGACCCCGCCTGACCGGGGCCTCCGCTCCTTCCCTCCCCCCTCTCGCAGGGCATCAAGCCGTCGAGCTTCGAGAAGATCGAGGACGCGCAAACCCGCGAGCTCATCGAGTGGTGCACGCGGCTCAACAACAAGGAGCGGCCCACCGTGAAGCAGCTGCTGAACCACGAGTTCTTCGCCGAGGACTGCGGCATGCGGCTGGACGTGGCCAACCGCGAGGAGACGGTCAGCTCGGACCGCAGCGTCATCGAGCTGCAGCTGCGCGTGCTCGACGCCAAGAAGCGACGCGACACGCACAAGGAGAACGAGGCCATCCAATTCAACTACGTTCTCAACAAGGACAACCCTGAGGAGACGGCCAAGCAGATGGTGAGGCGGCACGCAGGAGGGAGGGGGGGGGGGGGGGTGACACGGGGAGGGGGGGCAGCGGTGGAATGAGGGTCAGAGGCCTCCCGGGAGCTCCGCGGTAGAATGGCGGGTGATATAAAAGTCACTCCCTGTGTTGATGGTTAGATTGTGCCCGTCCTTGCGAAAAATTGTGCTTTAATCTCTGGAGCTAGGGCTACATAGCCTTATCGTATTCGGTTACATCACACGCGGCGATTACAGATAAACCAAACACTGCCAGCAGCGATTTCGTTGCCACACATTGCGGGTGCCAATTTCGTGATGTATCCATTATATTGCGCAGCATTAGGTTCCGTAGCCCCCTGTTCGTGTCGGCCGCTGGCTCCACTGACGTATTGGTGCGCCTGGTGTGCAGTCCCACTTTCTACGAGGTGTCTTGTTGGAAGGGATCAGCGGTCTAATGATGCCCTACCTCATCGCTATCCCCAAGTCGTCGTATGCTGTCTCTGCCGCCGCGGTCCGTCACCACCCTCAGCCCCTGCCGCCTCAGTCCGTCAGCACCGTCAGCCCCTGCCACCGCGGCACGGCAGCCCCCCCCCCCCCCCCCCCCACTCAGCCCCCGCTGCAACGGTCCGTCAGCCCCCTCAGCCCCTGCTGCGGCGATCCGTCAGCACCCTCAACCCCTGCCGCCTCGGTCCATCAGCTCCGCCTCAGCCCCTGCCTTGCCCAGGTCATGTCCGGCCTGCTGGCCGAGGAGAACTGGCGCCCCGTGGCCAAGATGATCGTCAACCAGATCCAAAGCCTGGTGCGCGCCCGCGAAGAGAAGCGGCGCGAGCAAGCCGTGCCGCAGACGCAGTCGGCGCCGGCGGCCGGACCGGCGCCGACCGCCCCCGGCGCCGCCGTCCACGCTTCCGTGCACGCGTCAGCCTCGCTGCCCGCCGTCAGCGTCAGCTCGACCCCGGCGCCAGCGCCGGCCGCGGCCGCCCCCAGCCCGGCGCTGGCCGCCGCGCACGCGCAGTCGGCGCAGCAGCTGGGCGCGGCCGAGCCGGCCGCTGGCACCACCGAGGAGACGACGCCGCGGCCGACGGAGCCACCACCGGCCGGCACGCCGGGCGCGGAGGTGAGGAGACGGCTGGGGGAACAGGCAGGGGCGGCGTGTGACGTAGGTAGCCGCTGCGGAGCGGCGCCGACGAGAAGGATCGGTGAAGAGCGGAGCGCGCTAGGGAGATATGATGTGCGTGGCACTGGTATGTTGTACCGCATTATGATGTTCAGAACCTACAGCGAGCTATTTCAGACGGGCGTTGCTTATTTAGGCGTGATTAGTTCGCCGTCGGCTGTTACGTTGCGTGATAGCGATTGGGCTGGTCCTGTCGATGTCTTCGTGCCCGCTCAGCCGATGCCCGGCCCGTCAGGCACCGGTCGACACCTCCGTGTCCACGGAGAGCGACGCTGCGCTCAGCGAGAAGAAGGAGAAGAAGATCCGGCCGCGGCGGCGCAAGACCTGCGAGCGGTTGCCCCGCCTCACCGTACTCGAGGTGACGGGCGAGTCCGGGCCGCGCCCGACGGCCAGTCCCGTGACTTCGGGCCGCACGGCTGATGGGGGGGGGGGGGGGGGGGGGGGGGGGGAGGGGAGCGGGCGAATGTCGTCTGCTCGGATATCACGGTTGTCCGCGGAGGTAGTGTATGTGTGTGTGTTTGGTGTGGTGAAAGGGAGGCTGTCAGACTTCCCAGCGGCGTCCCTTACATCGCCCGAGTGTTGCGGCAGTTTCGAGCCTGCGTAACCAGCTCTCTGTGCCCGGTAACACAAAATGACAGCTGTATCGACTCCCCGCTAAATCACTTACGGAACCCACACCACCAGCTCGACGGAACACGCACAGCCGCCCCACAGCGGCTCCAGGGCCGAGCCGGTGGTGTCGGTCCCGTCGGATGGCTGAAGTGTCCGGTCATACCCGCAGGTGAAGGCCGGCGGCGTCGGTCCCGTCGGATGACTGAGATGTCCGGCCATACCCGCAGGTGAAGGGCAGCGACAACGGCCCGGTGGTGTCCTGTCTGCTGGAGACCAACCAGTCGCAGGCGATCACGTTCAAGTTCGACCTGCACGAAGCGGACGTGACAGCCATATCCTACAAAATGGTGCGTCACGCTCTCGGGCCGCGTCGGCGTGCCCGCCAGGGAGCCGGCGTGGCGCATGAATTATTCCGCGCAGCTCGCAGCGAGGTCTTGCGTGTGCTTCTTGGCCGTCCTGCGGCTTGGCGGTGGGCTTATTGTAGTGCCGGTGGCTGAGACGATACGACGGAGGGCTTATTGTCCGTTGACTGTGAGTACTGATGATCCGACCCTATGCGAAGTGTTGGCAACTGTCCGGAAGGGTCGGTCTGACGCAAAGCGACCCGAGCTGTTTAGAAAGAGTCTAGGTACAAATCACCTGGTAAATGAGAATTGCTTTATTGGGGTGGTAGATTCATGGTATAAATTGGAGGTTCAAACATGTACACTGAACCCAATGATACGCATGCGAAGCGATGAAAATGTTCTTTGCACTAGGATGGTGCAGCATAACACAGCATTGTATTCCTTTTGACATCTCTCCCGCCAGATGAGCTGTTATGAGCTGTGGACCTACTGCGAGATATGGAAACTGACCTGGCCGACGTTTAATGAGCTCAGCGTCTAGTGCATCTGAAGCAGCCGTCATTACGTGACGATTGTCCAGCGTACAATCCTCAGCGCTTTCGCTCCTGCCCATTCGTACCTAGACGCGCGCGCGCTGCTCGCTGCCCACTCCTAGTCTCCCTACCAACCGGCCCACCCCCGGTCCAGACCGAACCGCTCCTGCCTCGGGTGCGCTGCCCGCCGCCCCCTCCTTGTCTCCCTTCTTACCGGCCCACCTCCGGTCCAGACCGAACCGCTCCTGCCTCCGCGTGCGTCGCTCGCCGCCCACTCCTTGTCTCCCTACTAACCGGCCCACCTCCGGTCCAGACCGAGGCGCACCTGCTGCCGCGAGACGACGCCCAGTACTTCGAGGAGCAGCTGCAGGCCATCATCGGGCTGCAGCGCGAGCGGGAGCGGTCCGGCGCGGCGCCGCCCACCGGCGACGACGACCAGGTGAGCGGCGGCGCTGGTGGGCGCGCGCGGCCACGACCGGGGGCTGGGGGACGATGGCGGCTGTTGGGCGCGCGCATGTCGGTGTGGAGTTTCGTTGACGGTTTGCAGGCACGTGGCCGGTGCTCACAGGTATACGAGTGCAACCGATTGCAGTGATTGCGACTATGAATGCGTCATTTAACGAGTGTCTATGGCTTGTGCTATTGCTGTCCCCCTACACCCTGACTTGCAATTAGATATGATTAAATGTAATTGTAATTGGACATATACAATTATAATTGAAGTCGTGTCATGGCCTTGCATTCCCGCTCGTGGTATCGCAACTGCGAGTTTTCGAAGTCTCCTGCGTCGGCGCGCGGCGGGCGCTTCGTGCGCGTCTGACGTGCCGGCCTGCTGTCGGCAGAAGGAGGAGGCGGCGCGGCCGGCGAGCGCCGCGGCCGCCGGCGGCTCGCCCCAGCGGCGGCCCACCGACCTATCGACGGCCGCCGCCAGCCAGGTAGAGGGAACGCCCGGCGCCTTCCCCGTGCTGCTGCGCGCGCCGCACGGCCTCCAGATCGTGACGCTGTCGCCGCAGCAGCTGGCGGCGCTGCTGGCGGCGCAGCCGGCGCCGGCCGACGGCCGCGCGCCGGCGCTCTATCCCGTGGCCGCCTCGCTCCCCGGTCCGGTGACCTCCGGGGGCACGGCGCAGGCGGGGCTCTCGGCGCCGGTGGGTGGGCCTCATGCGGGGGTGGCGGCCGCGGCGGCGCCCGTCCCCACTGGGGCGGCGGGCTCCGCGGCGTTACTGCAGTCTGGGGTGTCTCCCGCTGCGACGCCGCTTCGGCCGCCCGTCTCAACCACTGGGATGCCCGCCTCCTCGGCCCCGGTCTCCTCAGCGGGCCCCGGCGGTGCCGCGCCTCCCCCCGTGCTGCCGTCCGTCCCGCCCCTCCAGGCCGTCTTCTCCACCCCGGCCGTCTCGACCCAGGCTCGCGACGCGCCGTTTGAGCCTACCGCTCCCGGGGTGGTGTCCTCCGCCCAGCCCGTCGCTCCCTGGGTGGTGTCCTCCGCCCAGCCCGTCGCTCCCGGGGGCGTGTCCTCCGCCCGGCCCGTCGCTCCCGGGGTGGTGTCTTCCGCCCGGCCCGTCGCTCCCGGGGTGGTGTCCTCCGCCGAGTCTGTCACTCCGGCGGTGGTCCCCGGCTTGTCGGCCCCCACCGCCGCTGTACTGCCCTCCCCGGGTCCTGCTGGTGGACTCGTCGCCGCTGTGCCCAGCTGCGGCGCAGCGCAGGGCCGGCGGGTCCACTTTGCCGCTCCGGGTGTGGTGTCCCCGCCCATCATGTCGCCGGGGCTGGGAGGAGGAGGTGCGCAGGCGTCCTGCAGCCGGCCGGCCGTCCCGTCGGTTCCGTCCCGCCCGGCACCGGGACAGGCAGCCTCGTCCCAGAGCGCCGCGCCGTCCGCGGCCGCGCTCTCTTCCGCCGGATCGTCTTCCTCCGTCCTGCCGTCGTCCCCCGTCTGCCCGCCGTCCTCTGTCGACTCTCCGAGCCGGCCGCAGCCGCCGGCGCAGGTATGTGTCCGGCGCCTGCTCGGCTCCAGTGTGCTCCCGCTGGTCTGCCGCTAGTCTAGAGCACGTGCTGCGCACGCGGCCGACCCCGGCTCGCCGCGCCCCGACCCTGGTCCGTCCCGCTGCCGCTGGTCCGGCGCCGCGTGACGGTGCGCCCCGGACCCGGGCCTGGCTCGCCCCCTCCCCAGGCCCGGTCCCAGGCGTGGTCTTGGCCATGCCGTAGTGAGCTAAGGCGGCGTGCCGGCTGTGTGCCATAGCCGTGCTTGGGCCTGGGTGTGACGCGGTGTCCTGAGTAGGACTGTCTCCGCTCGGTGTGCCGATGTGACGTGCGGGAATGCGCAGGTGTCGTGGCAGGAATGCGACAGGTTTGCCTTCGTGTGGCGCTGCTTATGCATCTGTCCATGCTCGTCAGACAAGCTCCGTAGACTGCGCGCTTGAGAGTGCTAGTGGCTGCTGTCACTTCTATTCCAGCTTCAGAGCGGTTGTGCTTGAAGGGGTTGGGCCTACCGCTCATCCACTATGACAGCGTTTTAGTTGATGACGATGCTGCTGCAGGCGAGACGCGAAAGTGGAGGTGATTGTAGTTTTTCTAGGGTCGATGAACTCCTTTTGGCAATAGTAGGTATGCTCGTTTTTAAAGCGTAGCAGCAAAAGGCTATTTGGGTGGGCTCAATCCTTTTAAGATAGTCGTAAATGCTTTGATGTGAATTCAAACGAATACATTGCAGTTTTACGTTAGCGATGTATTATTGTGCTTCACTACGCAAAGTCAGGTAATACAGCGTGTCTAGAAAATGCGTAGCCTGTTGTTGGTCGGCATGGTTTGCACTTACCTCCCTAACTTAACACACGTTGTTTATATTTTACGTGATCATCCAGCTTGGTATTGCCCATTACAGGGACTACTTGACCTGACTCAGCCGACTAGGCGGCACTGTGTCCCGTGTTCGGGCATTTACTGGCCATCCCTCCCACTGAGCGATGCTACCACATGCGACCGGTCAACCGCCACCGGCATGTCGGCCGGCGACGGCTCGCCCTCTGATGATGGTGGCGTGATGATGGTGGCTGACGGCTCGCCCTCTGGTGACGGTGGCATGATGTTGGTGGCTGACGGCTCGCCCTCTGATGATGGTGGCATGATGTTGGTGGCCGACGGCTCGCCCTCTGGTGACGGTGGCATGATGTTGGTGGCTGACGGCTCGCCCTCTGATGATGGTGGCGTGATGATGGTGGCTGACGGCTCGCTTTGCCGCAGGCTCCCATTCGTCGCCAGCTTCGTTTCGTCGTCAGCTCTGTAGTGGAGAGCAAAGCCTCGCCCACCCTCCAGTCCCCGGCCAACGAGCAGGTGCGCTCCGAACGCGACCGACTCACTGATGTTGCCGTATCAGTATCGAAATCCACTGCGGACACTCAAACTGGGGTTGGGAAGGCAGGCTATAGCGCTGTGAAGCGGCACATTCTTTTGTAGATGCGTGGAGCATAGAATGTGTACAGGGGCCTGCAGTATTTAGAAATCGAAGAATCTGCTTGCTTGCTATGGAACGCTCGCTATTCGCGAGCTGCTGTATCATCGTCTGTGTTTGTTCCCCGGTGCTGTGGGCCGGCCGTCGCCGCTTGAGCCTCCCGTTATCCCAGCGTGAGCCGCCGCTGACGCCGGCGTCCTGCTGCTTCAGCCTCTGAGTATGCTGACGGCGGCCGGCGCGACGACCACCTCCGTCACGCCGAGCCCGCAGACGGCCGTGCTAAGCCCGGACTGGCAGAAGGCGGCCGCCACCGCCGGCCTCCCGTCGACGGCCGCCACTCCTGCGGCCACTCCGGCGGCCACTCCGGCGGCCACTCCGGCGCTCAGTCCGGCCGTCACGTCAGGAGTGGCTCCGGGAGTCCCTGCTGGTCATCCGACGCCGGTGGACGCAGTCGGAGCGGCCCCGGCGGCCGTCCCGCTCTCTGCCGACGGCCCTCGGCTCGGAACGGCCGCCACCTCGCCATCGCCGGCTGTCGCTCCGAACGCACCGGCCGGCGCCTCGCAGGCGTCAGCCGCGGCTCCGCCGGCGCCGGCCGCGACCGTGAAGACGCCGGGTGTCTCGCCGCAAACGTCGCTGGACGCCGTCGCTCCTCCGTCGTCGGGCGCGGCTAGCGACGGGCAGCCGGTCTCTCGCTCAGAGTCTGCCGCCCCTGCGGCGCAGAGGATGGTGGTCACGCCTGCCTCGCACGCGGGGTCGGCGACGTCCGGCCTCGCGACGGTGGTGACCGCCGCTCACCACGTCTCGCCCGACCCCGCCGCCCACCTGGGCCCGCCGGCCGGCCCTGCTCACTCTGCCTTAGGGGGCGCTCTCGCCTCTAGCGTGGAGACGCTGGCGGCCGCCGCTCTGCCGGCGTCGCTGCGGTCTCAGGCGGCGGCGGCGGCGCTCGCTCACCACACGGCCGCGGTCGGGCCGACGCCTGTGACGATCCCCTCGTCTTCCGGCGCCGCGCCGCAGCCGTGCGCAGCCACCGCCGCCGCCGAGGCGATGGCAACTGCCGCCTGCAAACCGCCGTCGGCCGCCGCCGCCGTCTCGCCCCTAAGCTCAGCTCCTGACCCGGCGGATGCTGACGCCGCTCCTGCTCCGCCGATGGGCGGCGCCGCGCCCGGTCCGCTGGCGGTGAACGGGCCGGAGAGCGCGCCGTCGGCCGACGGCGCGGCCCCGGCCGTCCTTCCGGCGCCGGCGCCGGACGGGGAGAAGACCTCGCCCGAGCAGCAACCCTTGCCACAGGATGGCCCCAGCAGGTCAGTGTGGGAGTGTGTTCCTGCCAAGAGGCGCGCGGTGACGTGTGTGCGGACTCCCCTCCACCGAACCGGACCGCTGACGTATGGTTGTAATCTGTCACCAGGCGTGATCAGTGAATGACTTAAACTGACTGACGCGGTCACGACGCCGGCGGTGCGTGGTTGTGCGTTGTGTGATGCTGTGAGCGCGCGCGCAGCAGCCGACGGCCCTCCGCCAGCGCTGCCCCTCCGTGGGGCGCGTCCGCGTCCCCTGACACCGCTTGTCCTCCCTCAGCGTGGGCAACCTGGCTCAGCTGGCCAAGCAGCTGACGCGGCTGACGTCACAGCCCCCGGAGGGAGGCTCAGCCGGCGGTGCGGCGCAGCCGGCGCCGGCGGCGGCGGCAGCGGCGGCGCCGCCGGACACGGCCGACCTCGGCCGACGGATGGCCGCCGTCGGCGCTCCGCCCGCTTCGGTAGGCACGGCCCGGGGAGCTGGCGCGGCATGCGCAGGGAAGGGGGTACTGGGAGGTCTTTCTGCCACGATCATGCGCGGGTAATGCACCTCATTCTGACCGGTTGGAAGTTCATTAAGTCGGACTCTGGGTTTTGTTCCGCCAATTCTCAGCTATCCGTTGATAAGGTAGGTCCGGAGGCCGTGCGGCCGGCCACTGCTTCGCCGGCCGACCTGTGCACGCGTACCCTTGCCGATCCGTTCCCCCTCCCCTGCGCTGACCGCGTGGGGCCGGGCAGTCGCTGCGGGCGCCGCCTGGCGGCACGAGCTCGCCGCGCCGTCTAGCTGGCGTTGCGCGGACTCGGCACCGGCCGCCGGAGGGCCCGCGCCGCGCCCAGTGAGTCGTCCCGCACTGACGCACCTCGCGCGGCTCGCCGTCCTCCCCTTCCCCGTCCCCTCCCCCGTCTGGCGGGGCGAGCCGTCGGTGGGGAGGGGCGGAGCAAGCCCCTCACGTGATGTGGGCGGGGCTGTCTGGCCTGCTGGGATGAATCGCTTTGGTGCGTCGTGGCATGAGCTGTTGATGGATGTGATGCATCCTGATCAGGTTGGCGCCGGTTGCGAAGTAATATTTTGGTCTTTGAGCGCGTTTAGGTCCTACTTGTTGCAAAGGTTTTTGAGTGCTCATTGGCGTCTCGGATATGTTTTTGTACGAGACGTGATAGTTACACTTGTCAGCTTTTTGTTGTGTCACACTTGACCTAATTGCGCGCCTGAAAGAGACTCGATTGCACAAATATTTGTGTGCACCTGCGGTCAGAGGTCATTTGCACTCTACGCAAAAAAGTACCATATAGCGTTCATGCTGCTGCGCCCTCGCCATCCCGCACTGTCGCAGCGCCGACTGACCGCTTCCCGTCACTGCGTCCGGCCGCGTCGTCGACACTGAGACCTTGTCGGCCCGCCAACACCAGCGGAACTCAGTCAGCGACGCTTCGTCAGCCGACTGCGGCGACTGGCCGATCACGTTGACATCCGACGACACGGCGACACGGAGGTGTCCGGCGACACGGGCCCCCGGCCTCGGTGTTTCACTGACGGACGCAGCCAACTCCCGGTCACCGCGACTGCCGGTCACCGCGACTGCCGGTCACCGCGACTCCCGGTCACCGCAACTCCCGGTCACCGCGACTGCCGGTCACCGCAACTCCCGGTCACCGTGACTCCCGGTCACCGCGACTGCCGGTCACCGCGACTGCCGGTCACCGCGACTGCCGGTCACCGCGACTGCCGGTCACCGCGACTGCCGGTCACCGCGACTGCCGGTCACCGCGACTCCCGGTCACCGCGAGTCCCGGTCACCGCGAGTCCCGGTCACCTTGACTGCCGGTCACCGTGACTACCGGTCACCTTGACTGCCGGTCACCGTGACTACCGGTCACCTTGACTACCGGTCACCTTGACGGCCGGTCACCGCGACTGCCGGTCACCGCGACTGCCGGTCACCGCGACTCCCGGTCACCGCGAGTCCCGGTCACCGCGAGTCCCGGTCACCTTGACTGCCGGTCACCGTGACTACCGGTCACCTTGACTACCGGTCACCGCGACTGCCGGTCACCGCGACTGCCGGTCACCGCGACTGCCGGTCACCGCGACTCCCGGTCACCGCGACTGCCGGTCACCGCGACTGCCGGTCACCGCAACTCCCGGTCACCGCGACTGCCGGTCACCACGACTGCCGGTCACCGCGACTGCCGGTCACCGCGAATCCCGGCCACCACGACTGCCGGTCCCCGCTACTCCTGGTCACCACGACTCGCGGTCGAGCGCGGGCCTGACCCCGGCGCTGTGTCTCCGTGTCGATGTCACTCCATTTCCGCGATTGCCTGCGTAAATGTCACCCTGCTGTCAGACGTTAAGGCTGTTATCGCCGCGACAGCGGGCGCGACGCCGCTCGACCTCTGATCCCCAGCTCCTGTCGTTACTCTGCCGAATGCTCACCCCCTCCTTCCCTCCCCCCAACGTTCGAAGCCGAGTGCCGGGAACACTGGCTGTCATGGCCCGTGTCATGTTGGCCCAGCCAGAGCACTCTCAGCCCCGCCTCCGTCCGCAGTCGAGCACGGACCTGCACAGTGGGGAGGTGGATGTCATGTTGGCCCGGCCAAGGGACGCTCAGCCACGCCCCCGTTCGCAGGCGAGCGCGGCGCTGCGTGGTGGGGAGGTGGATGCATCGCCTGCACTCCGCCCCAGCCCGGAGACCGGCGGCGTCCTGGTCGCCGGCGAGCTGTCGCGGCCGGCCAGCACCACGGAGACACCTGGCGGCGAGCGACGGAAACCGCCGCCGCTGCTGCTATCCGACCTGGCCAAGGAGCTCAACAAGCTGCACGGAAAGCCGGCCATGGTGAGCCGCCGGCGGCGTCAGGATAGAGGGTGCGCGTTGACTACCGCACGTCTGGGAAGCAGAAGAACGGGGTTCGATTCCCCGCGCTGCCCACCCTTCCTGGCGGGGTGAGAGGAGGCAACACCGTATAGCCTCAGGAGCTGAGTACGTCATGAAGTCACAATAACGACGGAGTCGGCTTGGTCACAGGGAAACGGAAGAGGACTGCAGGAGCGTGGCGTTAGCGTACAGGCGTGACGAGAGGGGAGACGTTTTGCGCTCACTTTTGCCGCGACTGTTGTTGGGAAGCTCGAGAATTGCTGTGGACGACATATATTATGAAGGATTCAATGCAGGGCGTGCATCATTCGTCGGTGGTCGGTTTGCATTGCCAAGGTTCCATGGAATCATCACGCTTCATATAATCGGAGCGCTCGGTAGGTACAGCTGTTGAACGGCGTCTGGGTGTGACGTCACGGTCCAGCCCGCGGTTCCGCTGACCGGCTCCTCGGCCGCCCCCGGCAGCCGCACGTGACGTCCACGCCGCTGCTGTCGGCGCTGGACGAGCCGGCCGAGCCGGGCCCGCCGCAGAGCGACACCGTCGGCCCGGTGGACACCAGCCGCGGCCAGCCCGTCCACCAGATGCCGTTCCAGGTCCAGCCGTCGCAGCCGCAGCCGCCGGCGCCGGCGGCGCCGGCGGCTCCCAGCGGCGCCGGTACGTCTCATGGGGACGGTAGTGGGAGGGCAGGACGGGTATATGGCGGAATGGTCGGGCTGATGGATGTAGCGAGAAAGAGTTACGCAAGACACCTTTTGCTGCGAGGTACTGCAGATGCTGCCAGCGGTCAGTAAGAGCCGAGGACACGAATAGCACTGCACCGCCACCGTGCACAGCTGCTGCGATTTCTCGCATTGTTCGCGAGCCGTATGGAGCTGATGTTTGTTGCGCTGTGTTTGTGCGCAGGTATGTGTTGTCAGCGCCAGGCTTCGGAAGCTGCTCATCAAAGCCCTCCCTTCGTTCATTCCGTCTGTCACCGACCTTGCTCTAGACAGCTTCAGTTCCGCGAGCCGTCCGTCCCACGCGGCTCTTCCGCCCGCGCCCGGCCCCTGCCCTCGTGACGGCGCCTCTGCCCCCCGCCAGCGTCGCCGGACGGCGCCGGCAGACCGGTGCGGCGCGGCAGGTTCGCCGTCAGCCGAGCGGCGGAGGCCGGGCCGCCGCCGCCAGCACCAGCACCAGCACCAGCGCCAGCGCCAGCACCAGCACCAGCGCCAGCGCCAGCGCCAGCACCAATACCAGCGCCAGCGCCGCCGCCGCCTACGCCGCCGTCGCCCGAGCCCGCCCGGCCCACCTGCGTCGAGGAGATGGCGCTCTATAAAGAGCTAGTGGCCAGGTGAGGGCGCCCGGCGTCCGAGAATGGAGGGAGACTTGCTCCCGGGGACAGAGGGCGCCCTGCATCCGGGGACGGAGGGAGGCCTGCGTCCGGGGACAGAGGGCGTCCTGCATCCGCGGACGGAGGGAGGCCTGTGTCCGGGGACGGAAGGCGCCCTGCGTCCGGCGACGGAGGGAGGCCTGCGTCCGGGGACGGAGGAAGGCCTGGTACGGCCAAATGCGGAACGCCACCCGCAGCGTTCGGCGATGAATGTCTGAGTGTCTTTGGAGAGGGGGGGGGGGGGGCAGCTCTGGGTCGCGGTGTTCGAAGAGGAACTGATTGCGACACCGATGCGGTGGGTTGGCTACTTTGCGTCGGGATGTTTTTGCGGGAACGTGTACCTGTGGTCAGGCCGCTAGCTATTTCCCGCAAAGAGTATCATCCAGTCTGTCAATGATTCGCCGACGTGTGCATCTCACACCGCCTTTACCCAGGCTTCGATCCAACTCAACCGGCGGCCAGCAGGCACACGTATCTAGCCCGCCGAGGCTGACCTGGCGGTGGCTGTGACCTGACCCGGGTTGGGCGCAAAATGACCACTGCAGTCGACGCGCCCGAAAACTCCAATGAACAACAACAAAACCTGACCCGGCCAGCGGGCGGTAGACACACATATGACGTGGTGTGGTCGAACCGGGACCCGACCCGATGGCAACCAGCGGACGCACGTCCCTGGCCCGCTGCCGCTGAACTGGGCCGTGATCCGACCCGGCCCGCAGGCAGCGGGCGAACTGTCAGACCTGCTGTAGCGGACCTTGACCTTGATCTGACCGTGACGGGACCGGCCCGCAGGCAGCGGGCGCACTGTCGGACCTGCTGCAGCTGACCTTGACCTTGATCCGACCGTGACCGGACCGGGCCTGCAGGCAGCGGGCGCACTATCAGACCTGCTGCAGCGGACCTTGACCTTGATCTGACCCGGCCCGCAGGCAGCAGGCGCACATGTCGGACCTGCTGCGGCAGCAGGAGGCGGAGCGGGAGCAGCTGCGGCGCGAGCTGCGCGGCCGCCGTCGGCCGGCCGGCGCTGACCCCTAGCCTGGCCGCCATGCGCGCCGCGTCTGCCGGCGCTCTGTCTCGCGGCGCGCGGGCGGCAGGCGCAGCCAGGGCGCGCAGTTCGTGTCTCAGGGCGAGTACCGGGGGCGGGCCGGGCCGCTGGCCGCCGGCGCGGTGACTGCCCCCGGGGTAACGCCGCCGGCGTCGGGCGGCGGAGACCGCCGCTGGATCTGACCTACCGGGCTTTCACGTCTCGCTGCGTCTGCAGCGGCGGCGGCGGCAAGTCAGCCGGTCTGAGCAGCCGTGGGAGGTGCAGTGATGGAGCTTCATAGTCCCAGGGAGGGCGGGAAGGGGGAAGGGGGAGGGGGGGGGGCGAGGGTTGACAGAACGCCTAACTCTGTGCGAGGAGCATGGCGGGCATGGTGGTGGCCTCCTCGGCGACACAGATAACTGCACAGGGTTGAAGTAGATGCGACATCAGGGCGGAGCGTTTTGTGATGGCGTTTTGGCGACAAGTAGGCCACCAGGGTAGCGGCCACATAAGGCGTGTCATGTGGAGGAGGGACGAGGCGCGAGGGGATATGCCCACGCGATGCTGGCGGCTTACGGCGGGCCGCCACTGGTCCTGGCTGAGCTTTGCTTGCGGCCATTCAACCGGTGCCATGCTGATGATGCCACGCGATGCAGATAGCGAGGGCACGTATTTTGCCCGGTTTTCTGTCGGTGCACGTGAGTTGATGACGGTGGGGGCCTCTGGTTGGTGCAATACCGGCGAGACCGCCGTTTGTCGCCGCAGGGTATACTCTGTCGCGGAGGCGCGCTGCTGAGAAGGAATTTGTGGCCAGTGACAGCTTTCATCCCGTGCAATGTTGACTACTTTGTGTGATGCGTCCCAGGGAGATGTAGCGACAGGCCTTTGATAAAGCGCTGCTGGAACCGTATTGCTTTGCCATCCTCTCAGTCGAATTACTGGCCAGACGACATGATTGGAAATACTCGCGGTCTGTTGACCGTTGATGCCGTTTATAGTTGTCAATGCTTGTACGCGTGAATAAAGACATCATGTCACCGAAAGACACTATGCTACTCGAGAATACAGACTTCATACGAGCCCGTGTCTGGTGGATTACAACAGTGCTGTGGGGATTCGGAATGCCCGTGCCCCTCCCCCCCCTCCACACACCCTATCTGCGATGCTGCTGGCGACACTAGCTAAGCGTTTTGAGCCCCAGCTGGGCGCGGAACCAAACTAACGGTAAGCAATCGTTTGGTTTGTTCTCACACTGTCTTAGTTGAATGCGGCGAATGCCATTGCCGGGTACTCTTCTCACGTGTATCTTAGGCCGAGCAGCCGCGGCTTGCTCGGATGCATTGCTCCGAGCGGTAGTCGGGAGCTCTCGTATTGGGTGCGGCGTTGGGGTTCCTGAGTCCGAACAGCACACTGGGTAGGTGCTGCTGTTTGCGTCAGCAATGGCACACTCTCCGCATGCTTAGTGGACTCCGTGCTCGTGAACTTCTGATGTGATGCTGAAGGTCTTTGCCCTCGTTTAAGGAGTTTGCAACTGTCTGTATTTTTCGCGCTGGCACGAAGCGTATGTACGATGTAAAGCTTCACAGAATTCATAACGACGAAGGGCAATTTGTCTGCTGCTTTTCGTTCACAATTCTTTCGTAAGATACGCAGATGAGACAAACCAAGCGCACCTGCGCTATCCTGCGAGTGCGGTTGTCAGGCATTAAAAGTGGATGTGGAGAAGCGGAGGCCGTGGGGAGGGCTGCAGGGGTCTTCATCGAGGGCAAGTTGACACATCTGGCAGGCAGATATTCAGGGCTTTGGGCACATACCGTTTAATTCCACGCCACACTTCACCTATGTCTGCCGTCGTTGCGATGACAAAGTCCCCAGGAGGTCTGTTGTGACCACATCAGGTCTTCAGCCCAGATCCATGCTCATGATAAGTTGATCAACCAATATGGACGAAGTGATAAGCTCATTGTTCAGCCTGCAGTGATCTGTTTTGTAATTCAAATGTGTCAAAACAGCAGCCTAGCAATCATGGCTGACAAACATGTCATGTGTAGAAATTCTTAAACTTCCATGCATATGCAAACATGGTTTGACATGCTTGTGATGAGATTATACTTCACTTACAGCTTGATGGTGACCAGCACCTTTTGCATGCTACCTGGTGCCATCTTAAGGCCAATTAGCATAAAATCCCTCTGCTGTGCTATCTACTTGGGCAACATCCGTGTGCTGAACTTCATGCTGGTGTGTGCCAGGTGCAGGCCAGGCCAAATGATGCTAAATTTTCATAATGCCTTAAAATAAAATGCTTTGGTGCATTTTTACCCTGAATTGCTGTTTGAAGATCACAATTTCTAGAGGACTGCTTTCCATGTACTGAAATGATGCTAACTGCAGAAAACAGTGCAAACTTACTATGCACATGTACTGAAATTGATGCTGCAATGCTGCTGTAATGTTGGGCAGGTGCAACATGTATTTGGGAATATGGTCTGTAAGTAGCCTTCTAAATTGTTGGAATCTTTGTGTTGAAGTGCTTGCCAAATTATTTTCTGCTATCACTGTTGGGTTCAGGTGTGGGCTGTTCTGTAACTGTACCTCCATTGTGCAGAACTGAGGGATCTGTTGTGATCACTGTATTGCATAAAGGTGTACTTTGACCTGCTCTCCACCAGATGCCACTTCAGAGCAGACCTAATTCTGGGTCATTTGTTGGAAAACAGCACTTGGACCTTTTCTGGGATAGGTTGATGTCCATGTGGTGCTTGGCACTCACAGATGCTCTTTCCGGGGTCATCACCATGTGTGGTCCAAAGAGAGAAAGAGAGTCTGTCAGGCATCATGCTCTGAGTCATCAGCTTTTCTATCCACTGATGATGCACTGGGGGTCTTTGATGTATCCCAAACCTCATTTTAGAGACCCCATTGTTCTAGTAATTTGGTGAGCAGAAGAACTTGAATATTGATAGCTGAAAAGGCTGGTCAATTTTTGTGGGGAATGCCATATACCATTTTGCACAAGCATCTGACAATGTACATCAAGGACAGGAAATATTATTCTCTTATTATGTGCAGGCTGCTACAAGCTAAACAAATATTTCTGTCATCTTTCAGAGATGATGCATTCCTTCATCTAACATCACACAACCCTCCAAAAGAGAAAAACCCTGCAGCACAGAATGCAGCGCTGCATAGTGCACCAGCTGGCTCGCCTGCATGGCCTTCATGGATCCTCACCAGCCCTGAAGCGGCTGAATGGCGTGAGCCTGGCTCGTGCGTTGCGGACGGCGGCGACGCTACTGGTGCGGCAGCGGGGCCGCGGCCCGAGCGCAGGCTGGCTGCGGCCCATGTCGGACCGGTGGCGGACGCGCTGCGGCCTGGCGCTGGCCGCCTCCTGGTTCAGCATTCTCACCGTGCAGTCCGAGTGCGACAACGTCGACTTCGAGACGCTGGTGAAGAACAAGCTGCTGAACCCCGAGGAGGAGCAGACCGGCTGGGACAGGCTGGCCGCTATGTACACGCTCGAGTGAGTCTGCGGACTGGGGGGGGGGGGGGGGGGGGACAGCCGCCGCGTTCACTTCTTGGTCAGTCTGTGAGTGTCATGGCAGGACCAACCAGTAATCTGGCGGCCACGCCCGCGTCGGCCAATAGGTTCGAGAGTGGCACGAGTGGATCGCTGTCCAATCTATCACATCGTATAAGTCCGCACGTGTCGTCAATGTCTATAATCTTACGACGCCGTGGCTGCCGTAATCTCCCTGTCCATCTCGTGCTGTGGCGAGCGAGACCGGGCCCAGCGGACATTGCGCCCCGCACCGGGCGTCGTGACCACAGCTCGAGCCGGACACTGCGAACCGCGCCCGCCCTGGGTGGCGGCTCCGGCCTGGGCCGCGCGGTGCTGGACCCCCTCTTTCCCCTCACCGCAGCGAGATGGGCGGCCTGACGCCGGAGCTGGAGCTGGTCGCCAGCATCGGCACCACCGGGTTGCTGGCCGGCGGCGCCATGGGAGCTGTGCTGAACGGCCGGCTCGCCGTCGCCAAGTTCATCGACCGCAACCAGGCCACCGCGTTTGAGACGCAGCTGTCGGCCAAGGTGATCTCTGAAACGAACACGCAGGAGTAGCACCGCGTTATTACAATCCCCAGCGAGCCAGCCGGCGCCCGCGCGGGCTGCTGCTTAGCGTATGCATGAGCGTTCGCAATGCTGAGACCTTTGATTTTACTTCCGTTGGCTCTGTGAGACTTTCCGCTGGGTCTGCCACGTTGGTACTGGACGGAACACATTGCACATAGCATCGCTGAACATGTCGCGGCCGCGGGGTGCCGTGTTCCGCCGGCCGTTGCCGCTGTCCGCGCGGCGTCCCTGGGGCCGTGTGGTCGCCAGCCCGCCGGCCCGGCCCTGACCGCTGACCCGGGCCGGCAGAGGGCGCTCCAGGACCGGATCATGATCGCCATGTCCCGCGGCTTCTTCATGTTCGGCTGGCGGACGGCGCTCTTCACGTCTTCGTTCGGGTGAGCGGGCCGGACTGGAAACGTCACGCACACGTTGTCTTGGAAGTGTCCCGAAGGAATTGCGCAGTTGACTCTCGGATTTGGGTTCATACTAAATGGGATATTTGTGCAATGTATTTTAAAGTTGCGTTGCCAGCCGGCGGGGATGATTTTGTCCGTGTTTTCAAGCGGTCGGTACCGCAGATATATCCTCGTGTCGTACACTGATGCGATACTTGGCGTCTGCGTCACGTTAGGAGGCATCGGAACACGGGCACGAACCAAGGACTAGACTTCCCTGCACACACTGGCGACGTAATGCCCTCACCCGTCCGCGTGACTCGGAGTGTTACTCAGCGCGCGAGGGCATTGACCTTGCCGTGCTCTCGGCGCCAGTGCGGTCGACGCCCGCGTTCTGCCTGTGTTGCAGCTTGGTGTCCACCAGCCTGATGGTGTACACCAACGAGATTTCGGCGCTGCACTACGTTGCTGCGGGCTTCACGTCCGGCGCCCTCTACAAGGTCACCATGGGCCTGCGCGGCATGGCCGCCGGCGCCGTAGCAGGTCAGGGCGTCCGCAGGTCGGCAGCGCCTGTTGTGGTGCTGGCTTCCGCAGATCGCTGTGCGGGTCATGGTATAGGGGCGTGCTTGCCTCAGTTCCAGATGGGTGTAAGCAGCCCGTTGTTCTACTGCGAGACGTTAGGAGGAAAGACGACGGAACGGAACGAGGGTGTTTGGGCGTTTTTGTTGCGTGGGAAAGCCCAGGATTTCTGCTGGTGGGCTGTGTGCTCTCGCGCGCTCGTGACGAAGATTTCAGGTCCCTGCTGTTTCTTGACATTGGCTATCGCCGTATGTGCCCGTAGGTTTGGTTGGGACAGTGCACCCCAATCTCCCGTAACGTGTGTTGTGGGCGCGCGTGCTGGTCAGGTTCTCTTCTGGGTCTGCTGGGCGGTGGAGTGATCTCCCTGCTCTGTTACGTGACCGATACCACCCTGCCGAAACTGCGCTACCAGCAGTACGTTTGGAAGCACCAGCAGGATCTGTGAGTTCTGCCTCGTTTTTTGGCGACACCCGCTTTGTGGTTAGGCGTGATCCTGCTCAAGGCTGGTCGCTCCAGGCTTTGGCGTTGTCTTCATAGCCCGCTCAACACCGAAGCTCAGTAGAACTTCGGGCAGCACTTAATGATTAAAACACACTTATGGTTGCATTGTTTTGAAATGCAGTTCGGTGCTGTCTCACGCAAATTTTTATGCATTTTTCATACATTTATATTTTGTTTCACTACTGTAGTGGTAAACACATCTTTCTTAAGCTTATGACGTCATGCATCGTTGCCTTTTTATGGGCGGACAGCCGATGCTCACCTGCCGTACTGATCGAAGTGGCCGTCAGCTAGGGTGTGTTGGGTGCGTTTCAGTCGCATGCAGGCCCGGGCCGAACGGAAGCGAGAGAAGAGGCGACTCGCCGCCGAAAAGAAAGCCGAGCATGCCAAAGAGGACATCGTGAACACGCAGCTGGATGGCGCGGGCGCGCTGCGTGGCTCGGTGCAGGCGGCGGACGCTGTCGCCGCCGAGGGCCCGGCCGCGGTGACGGCCGGCGCGAGCCGGACAGAGGCTCCTGCGGGTCAGGAGCGTTGCTCCGGCGCGCTCGACGGCCCGAGCTCGGCGAGCTCGGCGAGCTCGGCGGGTGTTGGGGAGGCACCGGCGCCGGCTGCTTCGCCGACTTAGGCCACATGCGCGAGGGATGCGCGCTCACTGTTGTTATTTGTCGTCGGCTCGTTAGGGATGAGTCATCTGCGTCGGTGGAATATATATTGGCGTGTGGTGCACAACGTATGCTGTGGAGGTTTTGGAGGTGGCTTGTATGCCATGGACGGGGCAAACAGACCGAGTTTATGTATCAGGTGCTGACTCCCGCCCAATCATCATTAATGTGATTAGAATCTATTGCGGTCATCGTTGGATCTCGGCTTGACCTCTCGAATCGAGGCCAAGTCAGGCGATCTCATCACAATCATTGGAGATGAATGATATCCTGCGGGTATGAATGACCTCCGTTGAAAGCGCGAGCGGCAGAGGTGCCGTATTGGCAGTGGGTCGGCTGATGACTGCTAAAGAAGCTAGGATAAGCTGTAAGACACGCTCCCACTGCCAGGGCAGATAATTCTTGGGGTCCGCGGGGCCTCTACTTCATCGCGGCAACCGTCAAACCCTCCCAAGACGCAACGCATCAAAGGTTGGCTCTGTTCCGCCGCCGCCATCTATCACCACCTTTCTCAAACACAACTGTTTCCATCTGCCGCCGCCGGATGGCGGCGCTGCGCTCGCAGGGCCGGAGGGGTCGGCGCTGACGGGCCGCCGCTCACCAGTGGGGTCCGAGACCTGGCTGCGGAAGTGCGGCGGGTCCGCAGACCAGAGCGCAGGAGTCGGCCGGCGTGGGTATGTGTCGTGGGTGAGCCCGGCTCCGGTGGCGGTGCAGCGAGCGAGGATGCGCCGGCGGGGCGCGGCGGACTGGCTGGCGCTGGGGCTGGCGCTGGTGCTGGCGGCGCCGGCGCTGGCCTGCCCCAAGGATTGCCAGTGCACCTCGTCCATCGTGGACTGTTCGCACCGCGGACTGACGCGCGTGCCCTTCAACATACCGCGCAACACGCACAAAGTGTGAGTACGCCCGCGTCGGGAGTCGGTGACAAGCGGGGTCTGAGCGCGACCGTTCTCTACACATGGCATAATCAAAAGCAAACTGGCCAAACAAAGCAATGCCACTGTATCAAGAGCTTAGTTTGGCTGTTTAGCTGGGTTTCCTGGGCGAGAGATATTTGGTCAAGTTTTTGCCCAAAAGCCACAGTCCACAGTATTGGACTTACCCGCTGTTTTTCTTTGTGTTATGTTACAAATGGCAAGACGCGACTTTAAGGAATTCGGGCGTAGTTGAGGGACTACAGCAACTCACCTTTTAAATGAGGGACTACAGTAAGCCACCTTTATAGAGCGCCCCCTCCGGTCCATGTCGGCCATATTTCAAGTGACACACCTGCGGTGCAACCTCACAGACACTACCGATCAAGTACACTTCGACATTTGCATTTCGTAGGACGTTTCAGTCAACGACCGGGGCACGGAGCTGCAAACCACATCGTGCAGCGCTCGGACTCATCCTGCATCTTACCACCGGGCACTGGTCCTGTTTTGTATCACCAGGAGCCTCCTGACTGCCCAGCGACCGCAGTCTAAGGTTAACTCCGATCGATCGACGTCGGATCCTCGGCCGCTGCTACGTTTACGAACAGCAAACACGCACAGCGTGCGCGGTGTACCCTGAGGGCAAGGGTCAGCGCTAGCAGCCCATGCTGATGTTTGCGCTATGCGATTACACAACGGCATCCGGCGGCAGGCAGAGGCGCGCTGGCCATTGAGCGGGCTCATTCAGCCGGAGCGGAGAACGATTACACGCAGCTTCGGTAACGACGATTCAGCGATCCCTGGAGCTGTTCGGTCGGAGCTCAAGCATGCAGATGGAAGGCACACAGAACACTCAGCGTTTCAGTCTCCGGGGGGAGGTGACATTGCGGTACCATTTTCACTGTATGTAGGCTTTAGAGACTAGTTTCAGAGTTCTAATCAGGAAAATCGGAACGTATTCAATGATGCAAACCAACTTGAACGGTGACGGACTGTACGGTGTGCAGTTGATGGGCAGCTATTTTCTCTCTGGCCGCAACAACAAGCCCTAAGGACTGCTTGTGCTAGCCTCAGCTCACATCTTTTATGGTCACCAAAGCATGTACGGTTATCATATTATTCTCAAATGCAAAGTCATTACCTTTTTATCATTTGCGCCTTCCAAAAATGTAATAACAAGATAAGTAGTCGAAAGTTATTTCTCAGGCATTCGTTAAGATGGCGACCATGGTTGTCCAATCCCACTTACCGAAATCTCCGAACGAGGCGCCTTCTGTGAATTGGAGCGCTGCGGAAGTCGACGTCAATTACCCCATGGAGAAGTTGAGTACTCTGGCATTTGCATAACGATGCTCTTAAAGCCCAACTGAGCGTCGAGCTGGGATCTACACAAGCCAAGTCATTCCTAGGCGAATCTTAGGCAAAGTCGGCCCGTTTCAAACTGTTAAAAACACATAATGTCTGATGCTCGGGGATTGGTATCGAGGAGAACGTCGGGTGCCAGGGTCCTTTTGCGTTGTATACCCGGGCGTAGCCATTTCTCGGTGGTGTGAGAGTATGCGGCGCGTTGCAATATCATGCATACGGTGCGCGAATTACAACGTGTGATAATGCAACATGGTGTCGGCGTCATGTTAATTCCCAATGTATTTTCCATTATTACGCATGCGAATAAACATCCAGTTGACTTCTATCATAGGGTTAGTTCCCCCATTGAATGTCTTTTATCCATGTTTTTGGAGGACCTAAACAACCGGAATTTAAGCAAACGAACGCTACGCAGGCCAGTAAGCGTCTTCTCTATTGACCAGCCCACAGCAATTGTATCATTTCCAAGCGCGTTGCGTTCCCTGAAACCGTCTGGCTTTGACCTTTGAATTTCAAGGCGACTGAGTTCGGAAACAAGTACCAAACTGCGTTGTCTTGATTGACGAATATTGAGGCACGAAGAAAGAAAGCTTTCAGGTTTAGGGCAAAATTCCAGCCCCGCGGCTAGGACTTCCACATTCAGGTTATGGTGACGTTCCACGTCCCACCGCTGTCGTTTTCGTCGTCGTATCGTTCGCCGGTTTAAGCGTGGTATAGGACATGCTCTTTTGTTATTCTGCCACCTCTAAGTATTTTACTATGCACCGGTCTTTTTGCTCTCCTGCCAGTGTGATATCTGCTCTCAGGAGCGACTCAGCTGATGACAGGTGCTTCTCATCGCCGAACTGCGAACCCATTACTTCTCTGGCTCTATTGGCAGAGGCGCGGTATTGAACCTGCCTTTGCCACGGGCTTCGTCGAAGACATTTCCGTCAGTCTCGGAACGGCAGTAGAAATAACGCCACTTTCGAGAGAGTTCTTCAAAATGAGTTCGTTAGTTTAGCAAAATAGATATTAAGAAGATCTTGTGTCATACTATGTGACGTTGTGGAGACTCCGCCATAGGAGAAGGTCTTCACGCTTGTCCGCGTCACGCATGTTCCAAGTGTCACGCACACGCTTACCGCATGTGCGTGACACGCGGAACATAGTGCGTGATGCCGGCGCGTCTCCAATTGCCCGGGCCTAGTCGCAGCGACCCCGGGCGCAGAGGTACCCGAGGGCCAGCCTAGTCACGGTCTCCTTCAGCCGACGTGTCGGCAAACAGAGCTGCCGCCCGCCGGCTGTGGTCCGTGCTGTGTAATGAGCCTCTTTTTACCGCGGCGCAAACAGGCGCGAGAGGTGTTTGTTCGGGGCGCCTCGTTCGGGCCGCACCTCGTGAGTGCGGCTCTGGTCAGGGTCGGGCGGAGCTGGCCGTCCGAGCTGGCCGCCCGAGCCGGCCGTCCGAGCTGGCCGCCCGAGCCGGCCGTCCGAGCTGGCCGCCCGAGCAGGCCGTCCGAGCTGGCCGCCCGAGCCGGCCGTCCGAGCTGGCCGCCCGAGCTGGCCGCCCAGCTGGCCGTCCAGCTGTCCGCCCGAGCTGGCCGCCCGAGCTGGCCGCCCGAGCTGTCCGTCCGAGCTGGCCGTCCGAGCTGGCCGTCCGAGCTGGCCGCCCAGCTGGCCGCCCGAGCTGGCCGTCCGAGCTGGCCGCCCGAGCTGGCCGCCCGAGCTGGCCGTCCGAGCTGGCCGTCCGAGCTGGCCGCCCGAGCTGGCCGTCCGGCTGTCCGTTCGGGCTCAGTAAGCCACAGTGTGGTATTCCGCTTCTCTGCGAAGGCAAAATTTTGCTGGAAGTTTACTGCTAGTTCACCTGGCACCGATAAAGAATGGGATGATCTCTCGGTGTCTCGGTCTCGCATCTCGGATTCATGATTGACTTCCATTTGAAACACAATTTTCTCCGCACATCACCTCATATATTCGGAAATTCCATCAAGCACGTATCACACTGTCAGAGTCATGTTGTAGTCGATGATTTCGATGCCTCAGAGCTGCAGTATACCAGACCATCACAGATGCAATATACCAGACTATCATAGATGCAATATACCAGACCATCATAGATGCAATATACCAGACCATCACACACGTCCCTGAGTCTCTTCGCGCCAAGTGATCTCACACATTCTACGACTCCGACCCTCCGTCTCGGTGTCTGGAGTCACTGCTCTGTTGGCCTTCGTCCGACCTCTGACCCCACCAGCTGTCTGCCTCGGCCAGCAGACTGAGAACGGTCCGAGTCGAACTGAACAGAGTCGCGGGCAGAGCACTGCTAATCTCGTGAGTCAGCGCCAGGTCGTAAGTGCCTCTCGCAACCTTGCTGAAATTGTACTCGCCACGACGCTCCAACTGCAACACCATCTGGCTGCGGCCGTTGATGGCATCTCATCTTTCAGTTTGATCGAACAAGGCGCCCATTGTCCGGAGAGAGGTGTTTGGGCTGCACGGCCGGCGGTGTTGACCCAGCGTTCTGCGAACCGCCACGCCACCTGTCCGATGCGCAATTATCCGAACATCATAGTTTTCCGTTGTTTGGACTCTGCAAATATCCCCAGTCTGCACGGGGAAGGACAATTCCGCTGTGCATTTTCGGATTGGGTGCATGATATCGGACGAGAAACAGGTATTAGCTATTTAGATTTATGGTTATGTAAACCAGCTAGAAAAAGGAGAGCTTGCAGAAATGTTACTTCTGGTTGAAATCAAAATCCAGCCATTACACGCCACCTGTTAAACTTTTTGTAACCACTTAGTATAAAAATAATTTTACTTGGGCGTTAGGGATGGTACGTATACCATGTGAGTAGATGTAGAACCCAGGTCCGGAAATGCTTTCATTTGGGATAATAAATTGTCATCATATTTCAAACAAGCTCCCATCCTATTTTGCATTAGTTCAATGCATCGTTTACGGGGCTTTATGTTGACTAAGATTCATTCACTTTTGCTTCATTGCCAACACAGGGCATACTTGCATCTTATCAGATGAATTCGTCATGCGTTGTTCCGTAACGCCTCAGTGCTGCCCAGCAAACTTGTGGTCTGCTGCACGCTCTGGTCCCACAAACCACTTCGTCACTGGAATACAACGCTCAAAAGTTCTTCAACCCTTCTGCCGCCACCACATTTCCCACCCCTGGAAGGGACCACCAGCACCCGACATTCCCATTTTGCACGAGGAACCACCAGCAGCCAACGTGCCCATGTCACACGAGGGACCGCCAGCACCCGACGTCCCCATGTCACACGAGGGACCGCCAGCACCCGACGTCGCATGTCACACGAGGGACCACCGCGCCGCTGCTCGTCCCTGCTCCGCCCCCCGGTCTCCCGCACCGGACGCGGACCACCTGGGGCGCGCGACGCGGCCTTCGCGGCAAAAACGACGCGTGCGCGGCGCCCGTGACGCGCCGGTAAACAGCCGCTCAATCACGGCGTCGACTGCAGCGCCGCCGGCTCAATGAGAGGCGGCCGCCATCCATCGCCAGATTGAATCAGGAAACGTCCGCTCAGTGCGCCACAATGGGATAATTGGTGCAAGAAGCGGCGCAAACGCACGGTCGCGGCCGCCGCGCGGC